ATTTATTCACATGTTGATGGTGACTTAAGACAAGGGCCACTACAATGCACTGCTTCATGAACTGCGTGTGGGTTCTTTCATAACGCACGGTGGCCGAGTGCTTTCCCACGTGTGCGTGTTGTGTGAAACTTGTGGTCTTCCGCCACGGGTGGCGAGATGTTAACTACCTTGCCTCGTATACAGGAGTTTGTCGGTTCGATCCCGACTCTGACGCCTGTATATTTGGGAGTTTGCATGTTTTCCCCGTGTTTGCGTGTAATTTTTTTTCTCGGGGTCTTCCGGGTTTTCCCTCCTCATTTAAAATCAACATGCATTTTGAGTATTTTGGCTGCGATACATTTCCACGTGATAAGCCACTTCGTTAAGCTAACATGTGTGGCCAGGAACACATTCTTGTGGAGGGAGCTGGTAGGAACGTTGGGTTGCTCGGTCAATGGCCAGGGTCAACGGCGGCGTGGTGTATTCCGCAAATATGCCCGACTGTGAGGGCGGGCACAAGCCGGCGTGAGTAGGTTAAACGTTGAGTTTTATAAGGGCACCACGGGGTGACCAGCCCTTCCTCACTCAGCCCCACCCCTCCCACCCCCCACCCAGCAAAACCCTCCCCACCCAGCCCCTTCCCATCCTCCCCACCCAGCCCCTCCCCACCCTCCCCACCCAGCCCCTCCCTCCCCACCCAGCCCCTCCCTGCACGACGGACGGACACAATACTCCCCTCTGGGCTGGTATAACAAGGAGGTTCCTACCAGTAAAAGAGCTATACAGCTCAGTGGGCATTAGCTGGTAAATAGTTTAGTTTATAGCAAAGATCCAATCCACGAAAAACAATCTCGCGTGCGTAAACAAAAAGAGAAGAGAAGAAAAACAGCAACGCCGCGCTTTCTGTGCCATCTCGGACTTTTTTTCACACTCGGTGCAAATTCCACAGTTAAACGTGAACTTCATTCGGCCCCGTGCTGTGCTGAAGTCGATGACCAGAGGTTACGGGGGCGTCCAAGGGTCGAGGGGTGGGGCCGTTTACAAAGAGGCAACGTGGCGCTGCGACAACGAGGGGTGGGAGATGAGGGGGATGGGGAAGGGACGCGGAGGGAGGGTGGGACAGACGTGTGGGTGGAGGTTTGTGCAATGAACAGGGGTACGTGGGGAAGCGACACTTGGGTGTGGGGCGGATACTGCAGGGTGCAGGAGGGAGCTGGTAGGAACGTTGGGTTGCGCGGTCAATGGCCAGGGTCAACGGCGGCGTGGTGTATTCCGCAAATATGCCCGACTGTGAGGGCGGGCACAAGCCGGCGTGAGTAGGTTAAACGTTGAGTTTTATAAGGGCACCACGGGGTGACCAGCCCCTCCCCACCCAGCCCCACCCTCCCACCCCCCACCCAGCCCCACCTTCCCCACCCAGCCCCTCCCCACCCAGCCCCTGCCTCCCCACCCAGCCCCTCCCTGCACGACGGACGGACTGACACAATAATCCCCTGTGGGCTGGTGTAACCAGGAGGTTCCTACCAGTATAAACACTCGTTACTTGGCTAGCACCTTAGTATATAGAGGACTCCAGAGCTTGGGAAATTGTTGGCACTGGATTACCGTGTGGCTGCCTTCCCAATTGTCTGTGGTTCCTTGTCAATGCTGTGCGGCGTGTTACAAGCTGAAATTATTCTTTAGCTCGATGATCGTACCGATAATTTTTGTTTGCATAGCTACAGAAACTTTCAAGTCAATGTCTGCTGCACGTTCACCAATTCTAAATTCAGAACCGGTGATGGTCATCTCGTGCATGTGGAATAATGACTTAAAACATCTCAGAATGGAGCAGAATGTGGCATGTTCACGAAATGTTGTTGGGTTCCCTGGTGTTACAGGCAAAGGCTGCTTGGTGGACATAGTGGTGCCCATTAAAGTAAGTGCAGCAAAATTGCACCAAAGCTCAACCTTAATTTGGAGCTTTCGTGACTGCAGGAATTACTCTTTGGTTCTTTCGGTAAGGTCACGTATAAAGATAAAATAATAAATTAAATACTAGCATACGACGTTTCGATTGCAACACAAACAATCCTCATCAGGTATAAATGAAATAGAAACACAAATCTAGTATACTTAGAAATGTATGGTAATACAACAGAGTCGGATAACATAACAGTCAACACCCTACCTGGTTGATTACGTTCTTCCTAAGAGAGAGATAAAACACAGAACCAGAGACATATAGACAGACATATAAGCAGACAGATATCACAGATATACATAGAGAGAGAACAAACATAGGCACACAGAGAAACCACGCCTCTGTGTCGAGGCCTTAAATAGAGAGAGGGGGAGGAGAGAGAGGGAGGGGTTAGAGAAATTAGCATGTCAATGAGTGGCACGGTGAGTGGAAAGGTGCAAAAGCTGTGTACTGAAGAGACTCGGACATTTGAAATCAATTCCGGAATTTGGCTGGTTACAAGAAATGCTGCTGGAATGTATTGTTCCGCATGACGCATAGGCTGGCTGTTGGTCCAAATAAGTGACTTTATTTGTATGTGATAGAACAGACGCCTGGTCTGCATATTATATTATTACCCAAAATATATCACCGTAGTATAGAACACATTTTGTTAAAATGTCTCGGGGATTGCAGCCATTCGATTCTTGCGTGTGGCGATATGTTAAGGAACGAAATGCCAAAGTCGAGGTCTGCAAGACACCAGAGGGGCTTCAGTAGAGTTTGTCGAGTTTTGCCGTTCCTCCTCCATTTGTAGGGGTGTTACGTGGGGGGCGGGGGGGGGGGGGAACGGGCAGTTACACTGGGGTGTCTACATCCACGTCCGCAAACGGTTACCGCCCTGGGGGGCTGTGTGGGGGGATGCTGTGATCCCACACAGCCCCGCCCCTCGGTGGGAAGTTGGTATATAAGGCGGAGAGCCAGGGAGCTCGAGGGAGTCGTTGGGTACAGGTCCAGATGAAGAACCAGTGAAGACTGAAGGCCACAGCTAGTTAAGACCTGGAACTCCCCTGACTCGCTGCCCTTGTGCGGGCCGAGCAGGGCAAGCCAGTGCTGCGACCTCAAGAGCAGCGAGGTCCGATGTCCTTGTAAGGGCCGGACTCGTGTGGCTGAGGGTCGGAACCTGTGCCGAAGCTGGGCCAGGTTAGTTAGCCTCCTAGGAGAAAGGTCTAGAAAATAGCGGGGAAGTAGGCAGTTAATGTGGGCATTAACTGGGGAGCACTTCTCCTGATAAAGACCGGGTGAAGAGGCCATTACCTCTTCGAGTGTTAGGGTCGTTACCCTGTTGTTACTGTATCAATTTGTAATAAATACGTGTTGCCTCCATCAACTTCTCCTGCGTCACATAAGCCCACTACACATTGAAGTAGCGCAGAGACTCCAGTGGGGCTTCCTGTTGTCCCCATAGTTTGGGTTGCACGGCTTGTGCATTTAATTTTCCATTCGTGAAGGAGATTTGCGCATCAACCTGCTGATGTTCCGATGCATTCGATGGTTACACCACCGGTGTCTTCGAGGAATGTCAAGGCCAGGAGGTGCGATGTTTGGGTTTCAATCGAGGTGCTTGGGTCGGAGACGATAACCTTCTTACAGTGGCCCCCACCCGTTATGTATTTTCATAATACCATAAACACAACTCATATCATAATAATTGTTTTTTTGCCCTTTTATCTGGCAACTGACACCTTTTTTTTGTTACAAGGAGTCATGTTTGCATAGACCACAATACCTGCAGTCATAATGTAAACAAAAAACAAAACTCTATACTCTTAGGTTTTTTCGGTAAAGTCACGTAGGTAAAAATAATAAAATTAAAATTAATTAAAGTAATATTTTTTTATTACTTTTATTCATTTTATGATTTTTTTACCTACGTGACTTTACCGAAAAAACCTAAGAGTATGAATCCTTGCAGTCACGAAAGCTTCAAATCTAAAACATAACTGTGATAATGTATGCAATGTCCTTGAAGTTGATTGGTCCAAACACAAAAGGCGTCATCTGGTCCAACACCATGTGAGACTAGGCTCTAAGGAAAGCTGTCTCGGGTGTGGACCAATCAACTTCAAGGACAGTGCATACATTATCAGAGTTATGTTTTTTGTTTGCATTATGACTGCAGGTATTGTGGTCTATGCAAACATAACTCCTTGTAAAAAAAGGTGTCAGTTTTGTTGCTAGATAAAGGGTAAAAAACAATTATATTTTTTACTGGCAAATGAGTTTCCAATGGTGTAAACAACTCATATCGTCATCGAGGCACAGAGACTGGTCATTTGTTTGTGCTTACAAACATACAAAAGGGAATTGTGTTCAAGCACGTGCATTTCTGCAAAGGTTTATCAAAACAATGTTGCCGATACACGAGTTTTGGATGGACCTCTTTTGCACATGTGTCGTGACTAACTCGGACACAGTTTCTTTTATTTAACGAACACCATCGGGATAATACACACCCTACGTGGGTACACACTCTACAGTCGCTATCCTATACACATTAACCGTCTAACACAGACGGCGCTGAACGGAGACAGCCAATAACTATCTTGCAGCGCAATATCGAGTGAAGACGACAGCGACGATGGCGACGAGATGGTAACGACGATCTTGAGCAGCACGACGGAGGATCCCACTTCCAGCAAAATGTGGTGTGCACATTTTTAGCCGGTAGAAATGATTAGTTTTGTGAATAGAATAGTACGTGGGTGAGCAAACAAATTAATATATCACGAAGATATTGGATTTAAACGACAGAACTACGTGACAGTTGAGCTTTTATTAACATCTGATGGTGCTGGATGTAATCTTCAGCAAAACTTCGTAAAAAATTGTAACAATGTTGCTCGTCTTTCCACGTTCCTGTTTGCTGATAACCCAAATTGGCATATTTGCCAACGTGACAACTTGCTTCGATTGGCTATTAACAGTTCGAAGGATAATAGGGAAAAAAAATGTACATTCCCGCACGAACTAACTCAAAAGAAACAATGAATCGTTAAACCACAGAATGACAACAATACATATACACCAAGTTTTATTATTCAAATTGAATTAAAAAAATGTACACACTGGATTTCAAGCATAATGGCTATGGGTGAGATGGATACTACAATGGTTGTGGTGATGATGGTAGTGATGGCAGAGTTGATCGTGATGACGAATGTGATGATTGTGGTTGCAGTTATGATGGCGTGTGTTACGAAGTGGTGGTAATGATGGCAATGGTGGTGCATGATTGTGGTGGTGTGGACGATACAGTGGAGGTGATAATGACAGTGGTGGTAATAGCAATAATAATGGCAAATGTGGTGATAGTGATGATCATGGTGATGGTGACGGTAGTGCGGTTAATGCAGCTGTTGGTCGTGAAAGTGCTGATGGCGACGACGACGACGATGACGGTGGTGGTGATGACATCACGTTCGTGTATAGAAAAGTAGGTAGGCCCGGGAGTTGAGAACCTCAGAGAGACTCACAGAGCGGACTTCATCATCGGAGCAGCAAACCCAGCGGCCGCGAACTGTTGACACGTACGCACAGACACACACAGAAACATACACAGATGGTTATGACTGACTAATCAATGCACATCATAATAAGATTTATAACGGCTAGGAAGTTGCATTTTTTTTTCATAATTATAGTTTCAATGCTGATAACTTGCTAAAATCTCAAAATGTACAAATATGCATCACGAGGAAAAAACCAGTCCAGAAGTTGCTTGCTATCAATCATAGGGCCGTGACTGTCGAGATTTACACGCAGATCCGACTCATCACTGGACCAAGCAATTCGCCTCCGATGGAGCACGACCCACTAGCCAACAGACTGCAGGTCGTCTGCAGTATATATACAAATACTGTTGATTGGAATTTCTCTCACTTGATACAGCTATCGTGCTGTGACGGTTCCACCGGAAGACGGAAGCTTGTGTTGCCTCCGAAACGTCGTAATTTTTATTTTACTTTTATTAATTTTAATTTTTTACCTACGTGACTTTACCGAAAAAAACCTAAGAATATGAATCCTTGCAGTCACGAAAGCTTCAAATCTAGAACGTAATATATAGTCATGCTGACGAAGGGTCAGTTAGTGTTGTGGCTATAGCGCCATAAACTCAAACCACAAATGTTACAAGTTATAATCATCCCAGCCGAGGGTTCAATTCCGCGCGTCACTCTTCTGAGGTCGTAAGAAAGTGCCACTCGGTGAGACGTCGATCGTGCTTGTCCCAAAGAGCTACACTGATCTACGTAAGAGGCAAATGGAATGTCCTCCATTGGAACCTACTTTGCCAGTAGCAAAATATGATCATTGGTTTTTAACCCTTTTATCTGACAAAAGGTGTCAGTTTTGTTGCCAGATAAAAGCGTAAAAAACCAATTATCATATTTTGCTACTGGCAAAGGAGGTTCCCAATGGTATAAATGATTACCCCGAGCTCTCATACTCTGATGGTGCATTGTCTTTGAGTTGTGCGCCTTTTGGCGTCATCTGGTCCAACACCATGTGAGACTAGGCTCTAAGGAAAGCTGTCTCGGGTGTGGACCAATTAACTTCAAGGACAGTGCATACATTATCAGAGTTGTGTTTTTTGTTTGCATTCTGACCGCAGGTATTGTGGTCAATGCAAACATGACTCCTTGTAAAAAAGGTGTCAGATTTTGTTGCCAGATAAAATGGTAAAAAACAATTATCCTATGGAATTTCCTCGTTGAGCAGGGAGGCAATTTGACCGTTATTCATCACTACGCGACTAGAATACTGATCCCAGCGATAATGAATACAGTAAAGCAATAATGAAAAACAATACTGGTAATAGTTAATTATACAAAGCCTTTTTGTCAATCCACAGCCGGATGAAGGCCTGCCAACGCCGTGTCGGTTGCGAGGATGGTTTAGCCGTACATCACCACGCTCGCTCGTCAGGGTGCATTGGTTAAGTTGAAGAGGGGGGGGGGGGGGTTACCCAGGACCGGTTCAGGTGTCACTCGCTACTGATGATAGCTGTGGCCGGAATCCTAAACTCAGATCGCCGGGTGCAGCGCACAAACCAGCGTGCCATCGCTCCCCCAAATCAAATGTTGATGGCGATTTTCTATTGCTGTTCATTTGTATAGGTTTCATAAGTTACATCTAATGATCTTCTTGGTTCTTTCGGTAAAGTCACGTAGAAGGGAAGTAATAAAATAATAAAAATAGAACATAATAAAACAATTCTCACGACGTTTAGGCCACAACGCAAGCAGCACCATATTAATTGACAGAGTCTTCTCGACAGACCTGTTCTTCACCTGAGGACGGCTGCTTGCGTTGTGTCCGAAACGTCGTGAGAATTGTTTTATGTTTTATTTTTATTATTTTATTACTTCCCTTCTACGTGACTTTACCGAAAGAACCAAAAAGATTAATCCCTGCAGTCACGAAAGCTTTAAATCGAAATTTACATCTAATGCCCAGCGTTGTGGGCAGATGGCCACGATGCCAATAGTACTCGCATTATTATATCGCGATAAGTAGAATAATCCGGTATAAGGATTGTGTGTATATCGCTGCAACCCTATGTGTATTGCATGGTGCGTGTGTATATGATATGGCTCTTCTATGAGGTGCAATACAGTACATGTATAAATGCATTTTTATGGTACGAGTGTGTGTTTGGAGAGTGTTGGCAGAGTGATGTACGCACTGCGCTATGAACTCGGCTTCAATACCCGGCCACAGCTGAACCGGTCCCGGGCCTCCACTAGCTTGGAGGAGCCTTAAATGAATACCTGGTGCAGTGTGTAAACATCAGCACTGGGGAGACAGGCCAGTTTGATGTGATGGTAACCAGAGGTCGCAAACGGGTTTTGATTCCTTACCCGTACCCGTCCCTGGCCGCACCAGGGTCGCAAACGGGTACCCGTACCCGGCCGGCTGTGTTTGTATGTGTGTGATGTTGCTATCACAAGCGAGCGCCCTCACCCCGTCCTCCACTCGGTATGCTGCGGTACGTCACAAAGTGCCCACTCGTCGAGTTCCCATAATGCACCACAACGGCAGTGAGGGTGAACCGGCTGCCACAATGGCCGACCCGTCCTTTCGACAGCTCTATAGGGAGCGTGCACACACACACAGGTACACACATGCACACGAAGCACCATATTAATTGTCTTATAATTAATACATATTATTACAACACGTACCTATTTTCCGTTCATTGTTTGATAGCACCGTACATAGCCAACCGTACCAATCGGAGGTGCGGAGAAATACAACAAACTAAACACAAAAAGACGTTCTGAATAAATGAGTTGTCAATCTAGGTTTAAAAAAGTACATTGCTCGAGTTGCTTCCTATCGTCGGAAGAGCGTTCCAGACGGCCGGTAGAAGCACATCTGAAAGTGCACGGTGCAGTAACCATCGTCTTTGGGTCAACGGCTAGCCAAAAGCCGCTGCGAGGATGAACGGAGTTCGCGTGGTGGTTTATACTCCTTGACGAGATCAGCAAGTCTTCTTGGTTCTTTCGGTAAAGTCACGTAGAAGGGCAGTAATAAAATAATAAAAATAAAACTTAATAAAATAATTCTCACGACGTTTCGGCCACAACGCAAGCAACCATCCTCAGGTAAAGAATGAAACACCACCAAGCTTGGAGCGTATATTTAAGCTGGGTTGGAGCTCCAAGCTTGGTGGTGTTTCATTCTTCACCTGAGGACGGCTGCTTGCGCTGTGGCCGAAACGTCGTGAGAATTATTTTATTATGTTATATTTTTATTATTTTATTACTTCCCTTCTACGTGACTTTACCGAAAGAACCAAGAAGATGAATCCCTGCAGTCACGAAAGCTTTAAATCGAGATCAGCAAGGTATTGCGGTTGATTTGTGGCAAGCACTTTGTGTGTAACGAGTGCGACCTCAGAATGTATTCGTTCGGCAACCGGAAGCCAATGCAGCTCGGGGAGCACCGGACGGACACGGGCTGGTTCGTGCAGCGCCCACCACGACACGTGCCAGAGAATTCTGTACAAGAAGCGGCTTCCCACCAGAGGTCGCAAACGGGTTTTGATTCCTTACCCGTACCCGTACCCGGCCGCACCAGGGTCGCAAATGGGTACCCGTACCTGGCCAGGTACGGGTACCCGTTCCCTACCCGTACCCATACCCTACCTGAAATGAGTGACAAACGATTACTCACCAGTGACTCACGGCCTACCCGTACCCGTACCCGGCCGCACCAGGGTCGCAAACGGCTACCCGTACCCGTACCCAGCCGGGCAGTGAGGGTGAACCGGCTGGGTACGGGTACCCGTTCCCTACCCGTACCCGTACCCTACCCGAAATGAGTGACAAACGGTTACTCACCAGTGACTCACGGCCTACCCGTACCCGGCCGCACCAGGGTCGCAAACGGCTACCCGTACCCGTACCCGGCTGGGTACGGGTAGCCGGGTATCGGGTAGGGTACGGGTATCGGGTACCCGGTTGCGACCTCTGCTTCACACTGCTGGGCCACTTCCTCTTATCCGCGCTTGAGGGCGCATAGCGGTGGACGAGTGACGTGCCTCGTGGAGCAGCACTTGCTCACCGCTCTGCAGCGTGTATCGAGCCAGGTCGAGCGAGGATCGGAACGAGACGTGGCCATGCTCCTTGTAGGCGTGGGAGTCGCGGGAGAACGCCAGCCGGTGCAGGTGAATGCACACGCACTGCGGCAGCTGGTGTGTGGACGCGACGGAGAGGAAGGGGTGACTATCATTGAACATACAACATGGGTTGTGGTGTGACAGACAATAGGTAGCAAGCACACTGGACTTTTAAACAATTTTTTTATTTTACCAGGTAAGGCACACTGAGCTTTATAGGGGCCTGGTCATAAATGATAGCTCAATGAAGTGGCTTATCACGTGGAAATGTATTGCAGGCAAAAACCCAAAACGCACGTTTGTGAATGTGAAGGTGAAAACCAAAGAACCCGGAGAAAAATCCACGTGACCCCAGGGAGAAAAATATGGTCAAAGAAATGGTGTGGGAATGCCTTCATCCAGAAGTCATTTTACATAGGGATGCAAAATATTAGTATTTTAATCTCCGATTAAACAATATTTAATTGCTAATAATTTTACGCTTTAGAAGTAACGCAACACACCCACAACTTGATAGGTTCAAATAAATTTCATCCAATTACTTTCATGCAGAAGAGACATTTGGTTGATTTACTCTCCAAATTATCTTAAGTAATAGCACAATATTTGATGCACTTTCAAATCTAGATTGAAAACGTATTTCATGAGAACTGCTTTTTGTGTTTAGTTTGTCCTTCCCCCGCACCTCCGATTGGCACGGTTAGCTACGCAGAGTGCGAAATAAGTTCAAAATGCATACAGATGTTGTTACTGGTGCTTTGTAACATGATCCCGTAGAATGTTTCGATGTGCACGATAACATGTATGGTGTGTACTTTTGAGATGTGGCCGCATTTGGAATGCTTATATCAGTTCACAGTTTTGTGAATTTATTTTCACTTGAAAACCTGGTTCAACCACAAGGGGGCTCTGTGGAATCAAACCTGGGACACCAGAGGTCCTTGCAGTGCCTTGATACAGCCACCTCAAAGGCACGGACGTTATGCCTATAAACGTGGGTAACGGTATCAGTCACCCAGCTTCAGGATTCAAACCCAGGACCATTAAAGTAGCTTTAAAGTGGGCCCAATGGCTTAGAGGGCCAATGTGACGTGAGTGCACTAAGCTTGCACCGCTGAAATCTGTGCAGTTGCTTGTAATTAATCGGCTTTCAACGGCTGACAACAAAAAAACACTCACGTAAGAAAATGCTGTTTTCCACTTAATTTGGAATATTCCAGCGTGGAGGGTTTTAATATTTGTCTTGGGTTGACATGCGAAGAATGTCAACCAAAGACGACATCCTTCGCTCGGTGATTGTCCTCTCCTGGCTTCCAGGGTCAGTCATGGACAGAAGTTCGTGCACCGTTCAATGCGAGTTTAGAACGTCATAGCCTTCATCTCAAGACATTACTGTTCGTGCAATTGTAATATGATAGGAGAGAAGATCCAAAAACAATCAGATAAAAAGGGACACACTGGCTCAGTCTCATGCGAAATTGATCAGTTTCCAAAGAAAAAAACAGCCACCTGCCATTCATATGAATTGCCCAGCCTAACTTCTGAAATGACAGAGCGAATGAATGATAAGTAATCCAAACTGGGACTCATTTTGTAAACTCGGCAAACATAGGCTTGGACAACAGGCGATTAGGCGAGCAAAAGAACGAAGTTGGAGTTGAGTGTGCACACGCCCAACGCAAAAAACACATTCCTGCGGAGGGAGCTGGTAGGAACGTTGGGTTGCTCGGTCAATGGCCAGGGTCAACGGCGGCGTGGTGTATTCCGCAAATATGCCCGACTGTGAGGGCGGGCACAAGCTGGCATGAGTAGGTTAAACGTTGAGTTTTATAAGGGCACCACGGGGTGACCAGCCCATCCCAACCCAGCCCCACCCCTCCCACCCCCCACCCAGCCCCACCCCCCACCCAGCCCCACCCTCCCCACCCAGCCCCTACCCACCCTCCCCACCCAGCCCCTCCCCACCCTCCCTCCCCACCCAGCCCCTCCCCACCCTCCCCACCCAGCCCCTCCCCACCCTCCCCACCCAGCCCCTTCCCACCCTCCCCTCCCCACGCAGCCCCACCCAGCCCCACCCAGCCCCACCCTCCCCACCCAGCCCCTCCTTGCACGACGGACGGACACAATAATCCCCTGTGGGCTGGTGTAACCAAAGGTTCCTACCAGTAAAACTCACCTTTGCCAGCAGAGTCCTTTTGAGGAAGTCGGCCTGGATTGAGGCACCTGAAGGATGTGTCTGAGAAGAGAGACAATGATCACCTGTCTTGTCCACGGGGATGGGATTCACAAAGGCACGGCAGCGTGCTTTAGTTGTTAATAAAATAGTTTTAAAAAACTTTTAAAAAAATACACGCTTTAATGAAATGTACTGTCCGAGCTGGGTGGGGAGGGGCTGGTCACCTCCGTGGTGCCTTATAAAACTCAACGTATAACCTCCTCACGCCGGCTTGTGCCCGCCCTCACAGTCGGGCATATTTGCGGAATACACCACGCCGCCGTTGACCCTGGCCATTGACCGAGCAACCCAACGTTCCTACCAGCTCCCTCCGCAGGAATGTGTTTGAGAAGAAAAAAATACTTTGAGGTTCATTTCGAAAAGGTCATCATCAGGGGGGGTGGGGGGGGGGCGCGTTGTGTTGTTGTGCACGAGCGTGCATGTGCGAGTGCGTTCGCATGCGTACCTGACTGCACGCATCACATTTCACTCCCGTGAGGAGCTCCGATCGGAAGAAGCTCTCCAGGCACAGTTCCAGGGGGACCGAGGGGGCCTGCACAGTAAATTATTCACTCATCACTAATCATCTGCATATGATAAATACGAAAGGGTGGACTCGTTTTTTGCCGCGGGCGATACAGTCACACGCCGTCAAAGGCATGTTCACGTTATGGCGGGGGTGATTTCACTCGCTTCCCGCCCCGTGCGTGTAGCCAAGATCCCCCGTATACCCTGCACAGGTTTTTGGTTCAACTTGTCGAGCACTTACACGTGTGAGAATGCGTGTATTTATTCACGTCGCATTTCACGAATACAGAAGCATGCATTTACACACAGCTGCCATTTTACACTAAGTGGCAGTGACAGTGCCGCCATAGCGATTTGTGCCAGGCTAGGTGGAAATGGAGGCCACGTGACAGGTCAGGGAACAGACCCATGGTGCCATCGGTTGACCAAGCAAGTGTGTGTGCATTTTCACGCAAAGAAAGGCAAAGGTCCCCCATACAGCCTTAACAGAATATTGGGGCAAGTGCTGTTAACAAGCGCCTATGAAGGCCAACACGGCACACGAGGGGGTGGGTTACCGGCAGCACGCCCGGCTGCCTTTGTCTCCCTCGTGGTGAGGTTTTCACACCGCACCAGGTACTCGTTTGAGGCTGAATCGACCGAGGGGAGGCCCAGGACCGGTTCAGATAATCGTCGCTGGTGTTGGCCGTGAGCGGGAATTGAACTCGGGTCACCAGGTTCATAGTGCGATACACTAACCGCCACACCACCACTCCCCACCTCAACGCATTTGCACACAAAGACACACAGAAACACGCAAACCCGTACACATACAAGCATGTTGTACTCTGCATTGGCAAAGAGTCAATGCATTTCACTGCTCAAGTGACTGTACGATGGTGCATATCTAGATTGCTGGCCACGTGTGAGTAGTTAAACATTCCACATGTGCAAGTCGTTAAACGTTCCACATGCTATGGCCCTTTGGAGCCTCCCGATAGGACAGCCGGGTTCCCGTAGGGCTAACTGCTAAGCTAGCGCTCCATGCAGTTACAAGCATGTATACACAAATAAACACACACATTCATGCCTACACACTGATTACACACACATACGCACACACAAGTATACATACTTAAACAGATACGTGCATGCAAGTATGGGCATACTTTCGATTTAAAGCTTTCGTGACTGCAGGGATTCATCTTCTTGGTTCATTCCGTAAAGTCACGTAGAAGGGAAATAATAAAATAATAAAAATAAAACAATAAAATAAAAATTCTCACGACGTTTCGGCCACAACACAAGCAGCCGTCCTACGGTTGTGTTGTGGCCGAAACGTCGTGAGAATTTTTATTTTATTATGTTTAATTTTTATTATTTTATTATTTCCCTTCTACCTGACTTTACCGAATGAACCAAGAAGATATGGGCATACTCTTTGGTTCTTTCGGTAAAATCACGTAGGTTTAAAATAAAATAAAAATAGCTACACCCATTTCAAACCTTTAAAACAGTCTGCCTCAGCAGCAGACCATGCTTTCCCACCTGATGACGGACGCTTGTGTTGCGCCCGAAACGTCGTGATCGATTTAATTTTATACCTGCGTGACTTTACCGAAAGAACCAAAGAGTATGGATTCCTGCAGTATGGGCATATCGAATACAGAAATATGTAGCTTGATATATGATGAATTTATTTGACACCGCACGTAGCCAACCATGCCATTCAGAGGTGGTGTCGGCGTATATATCTACAGCCAGATGGCAGCTGCATACATCTGCGATCTGGCACTGTGGAGGCTAGGGGTTAGTCGAACGCAAAATGTTGCAAAGCTCCCTTCCCGTAGGTATCGAGGTGCCACACCCTGAACTTGCCAGCAGAAGGCAGTAAACAGAGCAAAGCATGGACAAAAATCACGTGTCCCTTCCACATGGGACAGTGATGCCCCCCCTCGCACGTTTGAGATTTGTTTTTCTCGGTGCTCCATTTTCCTCCGACGTGTATAAGGACTCATACTGGTAGGAACCACCTGGTTCCACCAGCCCACAGGGGATTATTGTGTCGGTCCGTCCGTCGTGCATCCAAAAATGGGAGGAGTCGGGCTGGGTGGGGAGGGAGGGGCTGGGTGGGGAGGGTGGGGCTGGGTGGGGGGTGGGAGGGGTGGGGCTGGGTGGGGAGGGGCAGGTCACCCCGTGGTGCCCTTATAAAACTCAACGTTTAACCTCCTCACGCCGGCTTGTGCCCGCCCTCACAGTCGGCCATATTTGCGGAATACACCACGCCGCCGTTGACCCTGGCCATTGACCGAGCAACCCAACGTTCCTACCAGCTCCCTCCTCAGGAATGTGTTTTATTGGCCTGAATGGAGTGGAAGCTGTACTTTTCTGCGTTTGGATGCATGTGTGAGCGCATGCGTGAGGGGAGCAGTGGCTTGGTGGTTAGAGCACTGTGTTATGAAACTGGCAACCTGGGATCAATTCCTGTCGGTGGCAAGTGATATCTGAACTGATCCTGGGCCTCAACGCAGTAGCACACCCTCCCGACTTGCTCTCTCACCGCAGTTCGATTTTAGCGTTTCACGTAATTTATTGTCGTTTATTTTTGTTAATGAAAATGTTTCACCAGAATGTGAACCAAACCTGCGATAATTACCTATGATAGACAAACATTATTGGACATCGGGAAAGAAGAGCTTGCTTACCCAATGCAGCCTGCCCGGAGACGACCCTTTGATTTACCCGACAACAACATAAGACGAGACGCGGAATAAGAGCCGGAGTTCAGATGAGGAATAGAAAACGTCCTCGCCATACAGCAAAGCCGAGCATGTTCTTGTGCAACGCACAGTCCCCCTGGTTAATTAACGAGTTTGATGTTTTGTGGGCCCGGATCGAATTCTAACGGGAGACACGAGGCTGCAATGTTCTGTGTTTCACGGAGAGCGTGCTGAATGGAAATATCCCGGACGCAACCATCGGGCTAACAGGCTTTTCACTTGTTCGCGGACTTTGGACAGTGGGAAAACAAAATGTGGCGGATTGTGCGTGATGATCAACTCATCTTGGTGTAACGCGAGTTATGTCTCCATCAAAGCGTCTTTGTGTTCACCAGCTGTAGAGAGTTTGTGATCCTATCATGCCGCCCTCATTACCTCCCGAGAGAATTTCACGCGATTGTTTTAGTCGCTGTGTACGTCACCTCCGAGCACCAACACCACGCCGGCTATGGACGTAATACCCAAACAATTTCTGCACTGGAAACCAAACATCCGGGCGCTGCTGTGATTAGTAATTGGGGACTTTAACAGAGCGAACCTTGGAGTGTACTCCCAAACTTTACCGACATCGTTAGACCTCCTTTGCCAGTACCAAAATATAATAGGGTTTTTCCATTTTTTTCTGGCAAAGGAGGTCTAATGATGTAGATGCTCACCCCGAGCCCTCATTACTTTGATAGCGCATTGTCTTTGAGCTGTACGTCTTTTGGCGTCATCTGGTCGAGCACCAATTGGGTCGAGGCTCAAAAGAAAGCCGTCCCTTGGTGTGGACCAATCAGTTTCAAGGACAATGCAAGTATTGTGGTTAATGCAGTTACATGAATCCTTGCAAAAAAGGTTTCAGTTTTGTTGCCAGAAAAAAAAGGGGAAAAAACTCTATTATTTTACCAACATGTGAAATGGAACTGCACAGGGCATGCCATCTTGGATCACTGTTATTCAATGCTGAAAGAATCCTACAGGGCGTTCCCCCCCGCCCACCGCTCGGGGGAAGTCCGACCACAATGTCATCTTGCTGCTGCTAAAGGACCGCCCCCGCCCTCTCTTCAAGAGACAGGCTCCCACTACAAAGAGAGTCCAATGCTGGTCAGAAGACGCAGAGGGCAGACTCACGGATGGCCTGGAGGATACAGACTGGGATATGATAATTGGATTTTTACCCTTTTATCTGGCAACAAAACTGACCCCCTTTTTTTTACAAGGAGTCATGTTTGCATAGACCACAATACCTGCAGTCGTAATGTAAACAAAAAACACAACTCTGATAATGCATGCACTGTCCTTGAAGTTGATTGATCCACACCCGAGACAGCTTTCCTTAGAGCCTAGTCTCACATGGTGTTGGACCAGATGACGCCAAAAGGCGCACAACTCAAAGACAATGCACCATCAGAGTATGAGAGCTCAGGGTAAGCATTTACACCATTGGAACCTCATTTGCCAGAAGAAAAAATATGATAATTGTTTTTTACCCTTTTATCTGGCAACAAAACTGACACCTTTTTTTTGTCAGTTTTGTTGCCAGATAAAATGGTAAAAAACCAATTATCATATATGTTAAGGGATGTGGCCGAAAACAGAGTGGAGGAATTTGCATCTACAGTGCGAGGTCATATCAAGTTCTGCATGGACGTTTCTGTGCCAACCAAGACTGTCCGTTCCTACCCAAATGACAACCCCTGGGTTCACAACGCGGCAGTCAAAGCAGCACTGAAGGACCGACACAAAGAATGCAAATCCAGAGACCCCGCTGAAATCAGGAGGACCAAATACGCGGTCCGAAAAGCCACCAAGGCGGGCAAGAGACAATACAGGGGCAAGTTGGAGGCCCTGTACTGTGACTCCAACTCTAGGAGCCTGTGGCGTACGGTACAGTCCATCACAAACTACAAAGGGACAATAAGCTGCGAGGCAATCAACAACGCCTCCCTCCCCGACCAGCTCAACACCGTCGACCCCAGCTCCACAGTCCCCCCCCCCCGCCTTCCCCGACTTCCCCCACCTTCGCCTACCCCCCCCCCCATCGCCCCGACTACAGCTCTCCTGCAGGTGTCCTTAGACTCAACCAGAAGTCGCAACCGGGTACCCGATACCCGTACCCTACCCGATACCCGGCTACCCGTATCCGGCCGGGTACGGGTACCCGTTTGCGACCCTGGTGCGGCCGGGTACGGGTACGGGTAGGCCGTGAGCCACTGGTGAGTAACCGTTTGTCACTCATTTCCCAACGTCTTGTCTCTTCTCACAATTCAAGTTCCTAGAATCAACCCACCCGCGCCTGCAACATGGCTTCATCCCAGAGGTCGCAATCGGGTACGCGTACCTACCCGATACCCGGCCGGGTACGGGTAGCCGGGTATCGGGTAGGGTACGGGTACCCGTTTGCGACCCTGGTGCGGCCGGGTACGGGTAAGGAATCAAAACCCGTTTGCGACCTCTGGGCTCAACAGAGGCGAGGTGATAAAAGATCCTCCGGCAGGTTGACACACACACAGGGCAGCCGGCCCAGACGGGATACCGGGGAAGCACACCCCAGCTGGCCTCTGTGTTAACAGACATCTTCGACCTTTCCCTCGCCCAGGTTGTTGTTCCAACATGCCACAAGACGTATACTAAACAGTAAAAATCTTGGATTGGAGAGTAACTTGGGGTCTCTGCGAGTGTTTTGCATGACGAGCAAAATTTTTAAATAAATATTAATTTGATAAACGAGCGAGGTCTTGCAATACGAGTAGTACGTGCAGTATATGCTTTGTCTGCCGAGCGTCACGTGATCGTCACCGGTGGTGGCCGTGAGCGGGAATCGAACTCGGGTCGCCGGGTTCGTAGCGCAACGCGCTAACCGCTACACTACAATGCGTTACGCTTCCACGTGCGTGGGTCACGTGACAGATTTGACGTCACAGATCACTTGCCGTGCAAAAAATTAATGCATTATTGAGCTCCCCCCCCCAAAAATTTTTTTATTTGCATGGTACAGTCTGGAAAGTACCCACATGGCAAATTTAAAGTTTGTTGCATGTCGGGAAGTACGCTAAACATTGTGAACAGACACACATGATCACAACTTTGCCTTATATATATATGGAGAGGAGATTAGCATTGAGAAGACAAAGTCGACGTGCCATGGTGATCTACCGGGTTGGCCTCAATAGGCGTTCGCTCACAGCACCCACCCCAACAGTCTGTGTACGGCCATGCGAAGGATATTTGTGCAATGTGTGCGTGCGCGTGTGTGCTTACGTGCATGTTGGGAGGGATTGGGAGCGAGACGCTTTCAAAGCTCTCAAGCCTCACGGGACCCTGGAAAAACAAGACCGATGTCATCAACATCATTATTCTCTAGCATTCTCAGCATCACCACCACCATCGTCATCAACATCATCATTCTCTAGCATTCTCAGCATCACCACCACCGTCGTCATCAACATCACAAAGGACATCACAAAGGACATCACGGACATCATCATTCCCAAATGGTCACCCACCCTTGCCCAATCTCCTTTCCTGGTTTTTCAGCCTTGAGATGCAAGTGATAGACGCATCGTGAAGATAAATATTTTTTCACTCGTCACTATCACCAACATCACAATTACCATCATCCAAGTTCAAATGACTACTACCGTCACACTCATCACCATTATGAGTAAAGTTGGCTTTCACATAACCAACAGCCTCATTATTCATCACCATCACAATCTCTTCACCATCCAAATTCACATTTTTCACCCCATTCCAACCACCAAGGGCCTTCTTCTTCTCCCCTGCTTCTTCTCCGCACATGATTAACAGTTTCTCTTCATACCAAGGATGAGGGTCTCCCTATGCCGGGTGGGTTGTAGGTGAAGGTTAGAACCGTAGATGCGGGTGCATAGAAGTAAAAAGCCCCGATTAAAATGAACCTGGCGACCCGGGTTCGATTCCCACTCACGCCCAACACCAGTGACGATTATCTGAACCGGTCCCGGACCTCCCTTAGGTCTACTCAGCCTCAAATGAGTACCTGGTGCGATGTGTAAACATCGCCACTCGGGAGACAAAGGCGGCCGGGCGTGGTGCTGGCCACCCACCCCCTCGTGTGCCGTGCCGGCCTTCATAGGTGCTCGCTAACAGCACTTGCCCCAACAGTCTGTTAAGGCTATACGGGGGATCTTTATCTTTGTAGGTACTGGTGTTGTAGTGACATAGAATTGGTCACTTAGCATAGCGCTGGTTGCTGGCAGGGAAGGGGATCTGCAGCTAATAGCACCCTGACCGACAGCAGGCCACGTGATAGGCCAGAGAGGGATGTAGGGGAAAGGTTACGGAAGGGACACGTGGCCAGGGCGGAGCCAAACCACGCTCACAGTATAAGAGGGGCCCCCCCGGGAGGGGGCCTCGGGGCTGTCGTTTGGAGTGGAATCCCCGTCGTCGTTGCTGCTGCTGAAGATCGTCACCATCATCGCGGTCGTCTTGCCGCCTTCGCCGCTTTCGTCGCTGTCGTCGTCACTTGATATAGCGCTGCTAGACGGTAGTTGGCTGACTCGGTTCAGCACCGTCAGTGTCAGATGGCTAGCATAGTGTGTAGGCTAGTAACCAGTGTAGAGTCGCGTCTAAGCGAGAGACACAGAGTGTGTAACAGTGTAAGGGTGTGCATTGTACAAAGTGTGCTCGGTGTTAATGAAAAAACTGCATGCAAGAAATTACGTCTCCAAGTCAGTCACTACACTTGTAAGGGGAGTGGCAGTGTGGCGTTTAGCGCGTTGCGCTACAAAACCCGGCGACCCGAGTTCGATTCCCACTCATGGCCAACACCAGTGACGATTATCTGGGCCTCCCCTAGGTCGACTCAGCCTCAAATGAGTACCTGGTGTGGTAACATAGCCACTAGGGAGACAAAGGCGGCCGGGCATGGTGCTGGCCACCCACCGCCTTGTATGCCGTTGACGGCCTCCATAGGTGCTCGCTAATAGCACTTGCCCCAACAATCTTTTGCAGGCAAGCTTTTGTGAAGCCAGGCTATAGATATTCGAATTAGTTCTGGGCATCCCTGACTCGCCCTAAAATGAGTATCTGGTGCGAGTGTGAACATCAGCACTGGGGTTACAAAGGCGGTCGGGCGTAGTGCTGGAAACACCACTCCCTCGAGCGCCGTGCCGGCCTTCATAAGTGCTCACTAGCAGCACTCGTTGACACAGACTACGTAGGCGACACGGAGAATCATTGGCTTTGTACATAGGGTTGTATGCAGTACGGTGTGCATTGGAGAATGTGTATGCACGACAACAGCGTGCATGGGGAAAGTGCGCGTGTCTGTGTGTGTACGCGCGCGAGTGCACGCTCACCTTGTGTTTGCACCGCGTGCACTGCAGCGTGATCGCAAATCGGCCGAGGAAAGGGGACATCCTGGTCTTGGCCAGAGGAACGTGGAGACCTCCTGATGGCCGGGCACAAGGCAGGTGTTTAGAACGCCAGCGCGCCACTTGCTCACCTGATTCAAACTCCCCTCACTAATCAAGCAACTGAAGCGGAGGATACAAGTGGCACAACAGCGCCCCCTCAAGCATGACACGATCAGTTCAAATCCTAGCCAGCATTTGCTCATCTCAATCAATCACTAGGCATGTAATGATTCTTCAATGAATAATATATATGTTTCGATTTAAAGCTTTCGTGACTGCAGGGATTCATCTTCTTGGTTCTTTCGGTAAAGTCACGTAGAAGGGAAGTAATAAAATAATAAAAATAAAACATAATAAAACAATTTTCACGACGTTTCGGCCACAATGTCGTGAGAATTGTTTTATTATGTTTTATTTTTATTATTTTATTAATTCCCTTCTACGTGACTTTACCAAAAGAACCAAGAAGATAATATATATGTATTAAAAAAACTTTTTTTTAAACATGCTTTTTGCAGAACCTACCTGGCCACAAACGATAGCTCAACGAAGTAGCACATCGCGTAGAGATTCATAGCAGCCATCCAGCAAGTAGATCGATAGTCACATTGTAAACATGAATGTGCTGTAGTAATGCCAGAACTCCACAACTCCAGGAAGTGGCCCCGAAGCTTGCCATAACAAGGAACCGTGGGCAATTACAGCCAACGTCAGTTGACCGTGGACAATTAGACCCAAGCCGAAACATAACATATAAAAAAGAATGTAAAAAAATATATATCTATTTTATGATAGAATATAGTATTGTCATCAGTATGACATAAGTATACCAAGTTTTCAGTCGATACCACATTGGGAAGTGGGTTAAAATTGAGTTACGAGATTTGAGGATACAACAACGACAACAGAGTGAGTTAAATAAAAGCGTGTAAAAAATGGCCTGCTAGCTCACATCACGTGCATTGAATTACGTGCGCTGAGACTTAATTATTTACAAATTTATCATCATTATGTGCAATTGATATGGGTATGTTATGATTAGAATAGTAAAAATAAATAACACAAAATAATCAGAGAAACAATACAAATGAGGCAGTAAAAAAACAAGACCAAACGAATACGTAATGGGACCTAATTGAGACACTGAATTGAGGCAATTCATCCAATCACTGGGGGTGGGGAGTGATTGTCGGCCTATTCACTATGATCATCCCTCAGGTTTGTATAAGCAGCCCCATATGTGAAGGTTGCTCCTGGGAAGTTAACAGTGACTGCTGTTTGTGTATACATAAGGGTCTCATTTAGATTCCATTACTTATTCGTTTTGTCTTGTTTTTTGTACTGCCTCATTTGTATTGATTACCAGGACAGATAACCTGGTTCTTGCCAAGGCTACATGGAATTTCACCACTAGATCAGGACAAATTTCGATTTAAAGCTTTCGTGACTGCAGGGATTCATCTTCTTGGTTCTTTCGGTAAAGTCACGTAGAAGGGAAATAATAAAATAATAAAAATAAAACATAATAAAATAATTCTCACGACGTTTCGGCCACAACGCAAGTAGCCGTCCTGTCGGAAGGACAGCGTATGAAGGACAGCGTCTGAAGGACGCTGTCTTTCGGACAGACCTGTTCTTCACCTGAGGACGGCTGCTTGCGTTGTGGCCGAAACGTCGTGAGAATTATTTTATTATGTTTTATTTTTATTTTTTTATTATTTCCCTTCTACATGACTTTACCGAAAGAACCAAGAAGATAGATCAGGACAGTTTATTAAGATGAACACTTCCCAATATGCATTTTAACTCGGGGATCAGGACAGAGCCGTGATGATGGAGATTGTGTTAATGATGGCAATGAGGAATGGTGCCAGTGGTGATGTGATAGAAATGGACGGTAATTTGTTTATACAAACTGACAGTGTTTCCATGCTCAAATGAGCCTTCCAAAGTGCTCATCTTACATTCACAGTGCTGCACCATTCATGGGAATCCCCCATTCCTCCTATAGCAGGGGCCAGTGTCTCTAGATGCACAACTACTGGCTTCCAACAAAGGTGTCGTCATTCTACGAACCAAGAAATCTGAAAGGCTGAGACTTTGAACTTGCAATCTTCTATAACACTTGATGTACTTACAATGATACCATAACAGTGAAGAAAGAAATGATAATGCCATGGAATACGAGAGATGGTGTTCATGATGATGCAAATGGACATTATATAGTGATCTTAAAGACTGTTAATGATGTGATAATAAAGGTGACAGTGTCGGTCATGGAGATGTGATATAATTGGTGATGATGGTGAGTTAGTTACCAGTCACTCTGTTGACCACTCCAGCTGACTCCAGCATAGGCAGCCTCTGTAACAAACAATTGGTCAAACGCCATCATCAGCGAGATTCATTATGGGTCGCATTGCGTACAATACAATGGGAGGTGTCCAGGGTGGCTCAGAGGGGCTAAACAATGTCGAACCATCTTGGTTCTTTCGGTGAAGTCACGTAGAAGGGAAGTAATAAAATAATAAATATTATGTTTTATTTTTATTCTTTTATTACTTCCCTTCTACGTGACTTTACCGAAAGAACCAAGAAGATGAATCCCTGCAGTCACGAAAGCTTTAAATCGAAATTTTATGTCGAACCACTGAGCCGGCATTGCTGAGATCCTGGGTTTTAAGTGAGGCCGCCGCTACATATAAATAATGGCCCTAATGTAGCAAGTGGCTTCACATTTAAAAAAATCCATTGTTATATCATCATAATCTTGATTTGAAGCTGTCGTGACTGCAGGAATTCATGCTCTTTGGTTCTTTCGGTAAAGTCACGTAGGTAGAAAAATAACTAATAGAAAACGACGTTTCGATCGCAACACAAGCAAATCGTCTTCAGGTGAAACAATACAGCAGGCGGACTGCTGAGGCAGGAACAAATGTAGCGAGATAGCTACTGCAGCCAAAGGTGATATTTAATTGAGAAGAGCAACACAAAACATTAAAAAAGAAAATATTACTCCTGAAGTGCCCATTAACCAAAAACTGTAATGAATAGATGAACCATTCATAGGCCCCCCCTAGGTCGATTCAGCCTCAAAAGAGTACCTGCTGCCGTGTGTAAACATCAGCACTGGGGAGTGTACCGTTGGCCACCCACCCACTCGTGCGCCGTGCTGGCCTTCATCGGTGCTCCAAAACAGTACTTTCCCCAACACTGTTAAAAGGCTATACGGGGGATCTTGTGTCTTTATGGTTATTGATTTACGCACACAAGCACACCAATACCTGCAACTGCAGCCCGGAAAACGCCAGCGATGACCTTCCCTGCCTCTCTTCCTCCAGCGTCGTCATCACAACAGCGAACAGCTCGTGGGCGTCCTTTGGTCGAAAAAATAACAAAACAGAACTCGTTACTCAATCCAATGCTGGACGAGGACATCACCATTGTCGCGTGGGCCACAGAAGATTATTTGACTATAACACACTGGTCAGTGTGGGTTGAAGGTCGAGAGTATACGGGTGCATAGAAGTACAGTATAATGATGGCTCAACTCCCGCTTAGCTCACGAGGTGTAATGAGATCGGGCACATTCCAGGTCATTTGGTCTGCAACCACTTCATTACCGAGTAATTATTTTCAATTACCCATTTGTGCTGGTGCCTTGAGATGTACTGCATGGCAAGGCGTGATATAAATAGTGAATGATGATGATGGTCACCTGCTCCTGATGTGCCGGGATCTCCCAACCATGTGATCTCAGAGCCTCCAACACCGGCCCAGCATGCACTGGGGCATCCGCCGCATCCCCTTCTCCCATGAGCACTTGCAGCAAGACAAGTCGGGGAGAGGAACGCGGAGTTGAGGGGCGCAGATTCACATGCATGGCTTCACGTCAAGCCAAGGACTAACTCAATTAGGTGGTGACAGTGAGCATCATTTAATGATTTATCCAGCCATTAATTGAATTGTCACAAATCTGAGTGGCAATCCTATTCAAGAAGCAATTGTTTCTTGTCATCTCATTCATATTGTTTTTAGTTTTGTTCATCTCATGCATACGTTTTGCTCCATTCTGCCGTAATGTGCACCGATGCCTATATTATTGAGTGCAATATTGGCACGTAAAATACAGATTTATAGCATGTCATTTGCATCAAAAATAAATTCTCACATACACAAGTTTTGATGCTTGCAGAGAGTGTAAGAATCGTAGAATTGACTATAATCAATAAACGGACGCATCATTACATGCCCTTGCCTACCAAATAACCACCCTAATAGATTCCCTCGAAAAATAAGCTCCTGGTCACATGGACCAGACCTAACCATGATATGGGGATCCCACATGTTGCATGGCAACATCAAGTAGAAAATCAATCAGTTCTACCTCTCGATTTAAAGCTTTCGTGACTGCAGGGATTCATCTTCTTGGTTCTTTCGGTAAAGTTACGTAGAAGGGAAATAATACAAAAATAAAACATAATAAAATACAGTTCTCACGACGTTTCGGTCACAACGCAAGCAGCCATCCTGAAGACGCTGTCTTTCCGACAGCCCTGTCCTGAAGACGCTGTCTTTCCGGCAGCCCTGTTCTTCACCTGAGGATGGCTGCTTGCGTTGTGGCCGAAACGTCGTGAGAATTGCATTTTATTATGTTTAATTTTTATTACTTTATTATTTCCCTTCTACGTAACTTTACCGAAAGAACCAAGAAGATGAGTTCTACCTCCGATATACATTAATTCCCTTCCACCGCCTCCTTTTGCCGAGTTCTCATCGTGCCGTTTGTCGCCGATCGCTGGCCGTTTTTTGACCAGCGCTCGGCAAACGAAGACAAAAACAAACTCGTGATCTGCCCTCCGCGGTCCTCACCTCTCAGCATTCCCAGCAGAGCGGCGTGAAGGTGACCGCTCGGGGCCCTGCGCTCCCGAGCGCTCGACTCGCTGCTCCGGCGAACGATAAAGCGGCCGGAACCCAGGCCCGGGTCCTCGCCGACTTCAGACGCAACACTCTCCAAGGAGCGCGAGGCCGGCGCGTAAGTGGCGTGCGTGCCTGCGCTAGCGTGGCGTCTGCCTGTGTAATTGCAGTGAATGTCCGTGTTCGTGTGGCGTGTGTCTGTGCCGCTGCTCTGCGCAGCTATGTTTTTGTCCTCGGTGTCCATGCTAGTATGTGCGTCTGCGCCAGGGCTACTTGACCCTGCGTTCGCGTCACGTATAAATGTATCGCCGCTGTGTGCACGTGCGTTTGTGTGGTGTGCGTCTGTGCTGGTGTCGTGCCTGCCTTTATTACCGCCGTGCATGTTTGTGTCAGCGTGGCACCTTGCCGTTTGACTGCTGCGTGTGCCCGTGTCAGCACTACGTGTGCCTGCGCTAATGACACGCGTAGCAATATTATTTCCGTGTGCTTCTGTGTCAATGCCGCCACTGTCCGTGCTCGTGTTAGGTGTGTCAATGCAATGCGTGTCTGTGCTGCTGGTTTGCGTGTCTGCATTATTATTACGTGTGTCTGTGTTGAGTCTATGTCTGTCCGAGTCTTTGCTGTTACTGTCTACATTCGTCGTGCGTGTGTCCAACTCAGCGCTGTGTGCATTGTTGTCGTCTGTGTTTTCGCTGCTGCTTTGCGTTTTAATGCTCTGTATGCCTGTATTCATGCTGCCTGCGTTCCTGTCATGTATGGCTGTGTTCATGCTGTCTGGGTTAGTGCCATTGCTATTTGTGTCGTACACGTTAACGCTGTGGGTGATCGTGTTGCCTGTGTCTCTGTTAGTGCTGTATGTGTTCGTGTCACGCGTGTCACTGTTCATGCCGCGGGTGTCTGTGTTGTGCGTATTATTGCTGTGCCTGTCCGTATGCAGGTCGTCGGTGTCTGTGTTAACGCTGTGTGTGTTTGTGTAGTTTGTGTCCATATTAATGCTGTATGCGTTCGTGTCAATGCCGTACGTCTCTGTATTAATGCTGGGTGTCTCAGTGTCAATTTGCTGTGTGTCTGTGATAATGCCGTGTTTGTCTGTGTTAATGTCGTGTGTCACAATGTTATTGCCATGCGGCTCTGTGTTAATGCCGTGCGTCTCTGTGTTAGTGTCAAGCGTGTCAGTGTTCATTTGCCGCGTGTCAGTATTAATGCCGCGTGTGTCTGTGTTACCACCGGCTGTGTCTGTGCTAATGTCGTGTGTTTCTGTGTTATTACTGTGTACGTCAGCCTTAATCCCACTGAAACCCGCGTCAATGCTATGCGTGTCCGTGTCACCGCCGTGAGTAACCTCTTCCTGGTTGTGACACGGGCCCGGCGTGCGTGCGTCACCGCTGTGAGCGTGACACTCATTGTTCATTCGCTTGTTCGTGCCGTGCTCCGGCTCCGAGCCAGGGGCTGAGTCGGTGCCCTGTAACCAGGCGTGCAGAGGCGCGCATGTGGCAAGGGCTTGCAGCAGTGCGTTCAGGTAACACGCGTTCCCAATGTTTCGCAGGCCCGGTACAAGACCTGCACACACACAAAAACAAAGATCCCCCGTATAGCTTAAATATACATTTGGGGCAAGTGCTGTGAGCGAGCACCTTTGAAGCCCGACGCAGCACACATGGGGGTGGGTGCCCAGCAACACGTCCAACTGCCTTTGTCTCCCGAGTAACGATGCTTTCACACCATACCAGGTACTCATTTGAGGCCGAGTTGACCTAGAGTAAGCCCAGGACCAGTTTAGATATTCGTCACTGGTGTTGGCCGTGAGCGAAAAATTTAACTTGATCAACCGGGTCCGTAGTGCATTGCGTTAACCGCTACACTACCGCTCCCCACAAACACACGCTTATGTGTATAACCAAGTACGCTTATAATGTTTGACCTCCTAAAGCCATCCAAGCGCGATTGAGGCTCAACTCCGCTTAGCTTATGAGATGTGAAGAAATGGAGGCACATTCTGGGTGAATTTGTACATTGGTTATGTTAGTGGTGGATTGTATGGTAAACGACTTAAGCATAGTGTATGATGAGTTACGCGCCTAACAGTCTGGTGTGTCTGTTGCGTATGTGGGTTGGATTGAGTGTGCGTGATGGACCGCACACGTGGCGCAGGTTGTTAAAATTGTATTTTTGCATGGCAGGTAATCACGTAAAATGGTAAACACATTGACTCACGTACAGAATTGTCTATAGACGTGACATGTAATGGTTTTCACAATGAAATTGTGATTCTGAGGACGCCGGTTCAATCGATCTCCCGGCATGGTGGTTGAAACAATGGGGCAACTTTTCTTTAATTCCCCTCCCCACCTAATGTCCACTCAGTAGTGTGAATGGGTACACACCGCAGTTAGTCGATTGGAGGTCATGTGTGGGAGAGAGTTAAGTGTAGGTATGGCCACCTCTTTTGCCAGGTCTGGTCAGCATGGAAGAGTACACCAGATGTCCTCTACAACTCTCTCTGGAGTAGACCCTTCCACCAGCAGTAGCACGAGCGAGGAAGCAATTACAGAGTTGCACCTTTACCTTTTAATTAATACAGGTGGTCTTCTACTTACGATGGAGATGCGTTACGACGATCCCATCGTAAGTCAAAAATATCGTAAGTCGAAGATGGCCTAGCCTACCCAGGAGTCTTAAAGAATGGTGATAATTTAGCAAAACAGAGCAATTTACAGTACCGTACTGTATAAACTATATACTGTATGTATTTATTAATTGCAATACTGTATTGCACAGTAAAATGTTAAGTAAAAAATCAAGGTAAATTCTTAGCCTACCTATATGAACTGCAATTTAATAGAAATTTTTTTCAGGAAACAATCCTATCTGCTCTACAAACTTTTAACATGCATTGAACGTATCGTATCGTGGTAACCCTAAAATTAAATCGTACGCTGCTGCGTTTGCCTGCCGCACGAAATTTAAAATATTTTACAATTTTGTCTTATCGCTATCGCCATCGTAAGATCGAAATATCCTAAGTCGGACCATCGTAACTCGGGGACTACCTGTGATGGTAAATGTACAATGTGGTGACTTAAGACCGCCGTTTCTGTTTGAACGTTTGCACGTGCCAGTGAGTGCATTAATTACTAACATCTTGACGTCTGGCAAAAACATTAGCAAGCTGCGTGTCCAAATTTCTTTGACACACGTCGTGACGGTTACTGCAAGATCCGACCAGGTCCATCCTGGTGCTCGCTTAGCTGCGTTGGCTTCCGGTTACTGAACAAATACATTCTGAGGTCTCACTCATTACACACAAAGTCCTTGCCACAAATGAGCCACAAATGAACCACAATACCTCGCTGATCTCGACAAGGAATCATAAACCATCACGCAAACACTGGCCATCCTTGTAGCGGCCGTCTGGAACGCTCTTCCTTCCGATATTTGGAAACCACTGGAGCTATGCACTTTCAATCTAGATTGCGTACTAATTTCTTTAAAACGGCTTTTTGTGTTTAGTTTAGCACGGTTGGCTACGTATAAGTGCCAAAGAAGATCAACATCTATATATATAAAATCGTTCATGTCTGTCTGTCTGTGTGTGTGTGTGTGGACTTTGGCCCATACGCACTTTCATTGGACGGCGGTTGCCCCTGGCAACGGCTAGCCACGCCTTCGCCGCTTTCATTGGACCTGGCAACGGCTAGCCACGCCTTCGCCAAGGGCTGCAGTTTCATTGGACGGCGGTTGCCCCTGCCAACGGCTAGCCACGCCTTCGCCACTTTCATAAGCTCCGTATTTAATTAAATAATAGCCATTACACAGTATTGTTGGAGCGCTAGGGGGGGGGGAAGGAACGCCACCCGTACCCTGCCTCTTCCAAGCCGACAATTTTAGGCGAGGCCGCAGGCTTTGCACGCTACTAGGCCTCGACACCCACCACGCCACTCTGAGGTAAATTCATCAAAGTTTTTCCTACTCTTCACTACACCCCCACCACAATGTGTGCTATTAATATTACTTTTAAACCCAACGCGCCAACAATCGATTACTTTAATGTTCACTGTACAAATACTCATTAAGCTGGCTGAGCGTACTGCCAGTCTATCATGTACACTGTAGCCTGCTTATTAAGCTCGATGAGCGTACTGCCACTCTATCATGTACACTCTAGCCTGCTTATGAAGCTGAGTGCGTGTACTGGCAGTCTATAATGTGGACTCTTGCCTGGTTATTATAATCGATTCTTTATATGTTCTTTGTACAAACAGTCATTAAGCTGCTTGAGCGACCTCAGTTCGATTCCAACTCACGCCCACCACCGCTGACGATTATTTGAAACGGACCTGGCCCTCCCCTAGGTCCACTCAGCCCCAAAAGCGTAACTGCTGTCGTGTGTGAACATCGGCACTTGGGAGACAAAGGCGGCTGGGCGTGGTAGATCCAAGTCCCGGGCGAAGCCGGGTCATGTGTATGTGTTTATGTGTATGTCTGTGTGTCTGTATGCATGTGTGTATGTATGTGTGTGTATGTGTTTGTGTGTATGTCTGTGTGTGTATGTATGTCGGTTTTGCCGCCGTGGTGGATCCAAGTCCCGGGCGAAGCCGGGTCATGTGTATGTGTTTATGTGTATGTCTGTGTGTCTGTATGCATGTGTGTATGTATGTGTGTGTATGTGTTTGTGTGTATGTCTGTGTGTGTATGTATGTCGGTTTTGCCGCCGTGGTGGATCCAAGTCCCGGGCGAAGCCGGGTCATGTGTATGTGTGTATGTGTTTATGTGTATGTCTGTGTGTCTGTATGCATGTGTGTATGTATGTGTGTGCATGTGTTTGTGTGTATGTATGTGTGTGTGTATGTATGTGGGTTTTTTTGTATGTCTTTATGTGTATGTCTGCGTGCCTGTATGTATGTGTGTATGTACGTCTGTGGATGTGTTTGTGTGTATGTATGTGTGTGTCTATGTATGTGTGTGTATGTGTTTCTGTGTTTGTATGTGTGTGTATGTATGTGTGTTATGTGTCTGTCTGTGTGTCTGCATGTATGTGTGTGTGTATTGTGTATGTGTTTGTGTGTTTGTGTGTTTACGCTCGCATTACACAAATGTATAATGCGGGTCTAAGGCGTTCCTTACACAGCATTGCCGCTTTATTATTTCAGTCGTTTACTGCCGTATGCACCCTGAAAGTCGTGTGTGTCTGCAGCAAGCGCGTGTATGTGTACCTATGGACGCGCGCGCGTGTGTTGTGTAGGGGGAACGGTAGTGTAGTGCTTAGCGTGCTGCCTGTGTCTGTGTGTGTGTGTCTGTGTGTGTGTGTCTGTGTGTGTGTCTGTGTGTGTGTCTGTGTGTGTGCGTGTGTGGTGTGTGGGGAGCGGTAGTGTAGTGGTTAGCGTGCTGTCTGTGTGTGTGTTTCTGTCTGTGTGTGTCTGCGTGTGTCTGTGTGTGTGTCTGTGTGTGTGTCTGTGCGTGTGTGGTGTGTGAGGAGCGGTGGGTGTAGTGCTTAACGCTACGCTGCGCTACCAACCCGGCAAACCCAGTTCGATTCCCGCTCACGGCCACCACCGGTGACGATTATTTGAACCTCCCCTAGGTCGACTCTGCCTCAAACGAGTAACTTAACTACTGTAGCGTATTAACATCGCCACTGGGGAGACAAAGGCGGCCGGTCGTGGTAGATACAAGTCCCGGGCGAAGCCGGGTAGTACAGCTAGTACATACATACAAAATCCCACCGCAAACGATAACTGGTTCCTGACTTTCGGAATCGATGTTCGATTTTGGAAAAAATGTTATGGTTTAATGACGATTGCTTAACAACCCTAATACAGAATGTGATAAATGCTGGGCTTAATGTCCGTGTGTCTGGAATTATTTCGGCACCCGGTACAACATAACCAGCAAAAGTTCAGTCTACCGGCTTGTCGATAAATATTCAGTGAGGAATGAAGCCTGGGATATGCTGAAGGTCTCCCTATGCCGTGCTATCATGAGAGTTGTTAGACCGTAACTCACTATGCTGGTCGATGTGGATTTGTGAAGGGGGAGCCCCAGGACGAATTCAGATATCGCTCACCACTGATGTTTTATGTGGCCGGGAACAAAACTCGGGTCACCAAGTTTACAGCGCAGTGAGCGCTATAAAGAAATGCAACACCACTATGTGTGCACATGGTATAATACAAATAAAACGCAGGTCTCATTCATCCCTATAATGGTAATCTGCCAGCTGCATTTTTTCTAAATCAGGCAAGTACTGAACTGGTTAGAGTTTTACCAGCAGGGTGTGGCCTGTTAAACAAACGTTGCTTGGTGGTTTATGTAACGACAGGGCCTGTTTAACATAGCAGAAAAAAACTGTGCAATCTTCTTGGTTCTTTCGGTAAAGTCACGTAGAAGGGAAATAATAAAATAATAAAAATAAAACATAATAAAATACAATTCTCACGACGTTTCGGCCACAACGCAAGCAGCCGTCCTCAGGTGAAGAACAGGTCTGTCGGAAAGACTTTACCGAAAAAACAAAGAAGATGAATCCCTGCAGTCACGAAAGCTTTAATCTAAAAACTGTGCAAGACAAGAATGGATGGTATTGCCTGACTAAAATGTGCTTTTGTCTTCTCTTATTTGGCAACGAAACTAAATGTTGTCTGCCGAGTGATATATAATTTTTCTCTGGCCTCGAAAAATGTGGCATGGCTACTTTGTGCATGGTACGCATGTGCGCAACCTTGGTGCGTTACGTGACGTGTAGTCAAAGTAGTGTGTATGATACAGGTGAGACTGTAGTATCAAGTGGATGTGCAGTGTGTATTATCGCAGTTAAATTGTGCAGTATATGGTGTGCAGTACGTTTTAACTCAGCAGTGGTGAGATTATGTCGTATGTGGTGTGTGAGTTCAGACAGGTGAGATTGCGTTGTACATGGTGCGTATGTAGTGTGTGCGTTTCAGAGAGTTGGTGAGGTTGTGTAGTATATTGTGTGTATGTGGCGTGTGATTGAAGACCGTAGGTGAGATTGTGTGGTATATGGTGCACCTCCCGTTTAGCATGGTTGGCTACGTACACACCGTACGAGGTTCAACATACATGTAGTGTGCGTGTGATATCAGTGAGCAGTACCTTTTTTTCGTGATGCACGAGTTGAAGGACCCCACAGGACATAGACTCCAACTGCCGCCAGTCCCAGCAGCCCCCAAACCTCTCCCCACCCCACCCCCATCCTGTAGCAGGGAACACAAAACAAATATCCCCCATAAAGCCTTCACACACTTTTGGGGCTAGTGCTGTTCGCGAGCACCTATGAAGGCCGGCACGGTACACATGGGGATGGTTTGCCAGCATCACGCCCGGTCGCTTTCGTCTCCCTATTGGCAATGTTTACACATTGCACAGGTACTCATTCGTGGCTGAGTCGACCTAGGGGTGGCCCAGAACGGGTCAGATAATCGTCACTGGAGTTGGCCATGGGTGGGAATCGAACTCCGATCGCCGGGTTTGTAGTGAAGCTTGCTAACCACTGCACGACCGCTCCCCCAGTTAATCATTGTGTATGTTGAACTTATTTCGCATCGTACATATCCAAAGTAACATACACCAACCACATCGTCGCCAACCGATGCACCACTTTCATCACCACAATTACGCCACGACTCCGTATAAAAGCAAATACTCCCCTTTGAGTTTGAACACCCTGAGATTAAATGTTGTTTGCAGTCTCCTATCAAGACCTGCACTGCACACAATGCATACGAATGGTTGTGGTTTCAGCAAAGATCAATCATAGCACGGTAACCAAACATTGCCCAGAAAAGCCTCACTGAATCTGAACTCTTTTTTTTTTCCCAGGAGGGTCCTGCATTTGGGGGTTGTTTGGCCAATTCCATTTATGAGTTTTTGGCACATTTCAGGATACATTACTTAAGAACTCTAGGGGGGGGGGAACCTACACACGGCAATAGGGAAACACTTAGCAATGCTATAATCTCCCTACTACCTTGCAGCCCGAAAACCTACACCAGGTAATCACCCAGGTGTTGTAGGTTCTGAGATTCATAGAAATCAGGTACATTTCAGGTGATTTGGTCAAAGACAAAGCCTTAACATACTGTTGGGGCAAGTGCTGTGAAAACGTCGCCTGCCGCCTTATTCACTCTCTCCAGTACACAAAGCACCTCGTACTGAACCCGTTTAAGGCACAATTTGCCACTGACGTTGAGCAGTTGCCAGTAACGATGTAGTGTGCATTTGAAAAATGTTGATACTCCTACTGATGCTCCTGCTGTTGTGGAGTGACTCATGCAGCCAGCTATGGCTGCAGGGTTTGGTGGTACATGTTGTTTATGTCGTTTATTGTCAAATTTCGGTCACAGTTCCTATGATCACTGTTACATTGCTTTCATGGCTTTATTTTGGTGATTTCGAAAAGTTTTTTGGTTTGGCCAGGTTTGTTTGTTGTAGTTCGAAGTTAGAATGGTGGCTTTAATCTAAGTTGTCTTGTGGTTGTTTGACATGCATCCCACTGGGATTTTTGCACAACGTTGGTGTACGGTGCTTTTTTTTTCTGGAAGACTTTGCAGTTTTTTTCCTGGATTTTTCTGTTTGCGCATAGTCACTTTAAGATGTTTTCCTGTTCATGTTTTTTTGTTTGTTGCGGTTGCACCCGATTCAAGAGCTGAATGGCTCACAGGGCTATCTCCATATTTGTCAAAGGCAACGTTGTGATTATGTGTGTCTGTTCAAATTGTTTAGCGTACTTTCCCGACTGTACCACATGCAAAAAATATAAAAATACACTTTTTTTGTGGGGGGGGGGGGGGGCTCAATAATGCATATATTTTTTGCACGGCAATTTAACTGTGACGTCAAATCTGTCACGTGACCCGCGCACGTGGAAGCCCTCCCCTAGGTCGACTCAGCCTCAAACGAGTAACTGGTCTGCTGTGTGAACATCGCCACTGGGGGGGGGGGGGGTGTGACAAAGGCGGCCGGGCGTGGTGCTGTCACCCCACCCCCTCGTAGCAAATCAATGAAACTGAAAACTGTGATCACCACAGCGGTGACGTCAGCGTAGGTGCACTTTAAAGGCACGTGGAGCCATCGTCCCATACTGCTATGAAAACATCGCTCATAGCGCACACACACACAGCACAAACCCACGAGATGGAGTCATAGGGGGGACACGGGGGGACGTGTAGATACAGGTTTGTGGAGAGACACGGAGACAAATCGAACTCTTGGGAGTAATCCGATGAGCTATGAAGCTCTTCGCGCACAGATGTTCGCAACCGGAGGGATACACAGAGACACGTGCGTATCGCGAGACGAGGGAGGCATGAGAAGAGACGGGCAGGACAGGCAACAACGCAAACACAAGATGCGGGGGACAGATTGAGGACACAGATACACGGCGAGACGAGCAGTTAACGAGGATGCAATCGTGTCAAGGGCACGCAGAGACGATGGGGAAAGGTTGATATACAATGAAACGTTGGGAACAGGGGGACAGGGAGACACATTGGGACAGGAAGGGACGCATCGTGTGGAAGAGGAGGGGTTGATACAGACTTATGATGAGCTAAAGATACAATGAGATACGGAGATTCGCGGATATCCGATTATCACGGCTGGCTACGGGCAGAACCAAGACTCGTGATGAGACACAGGAGGACATTGTTGTCTCTGTGTGGAGACAGACAGAGACAGGGGAGAGACAGGGGAGAGACAGACAGGGGAGAGACGCAGAAACTTGCCGTCACCTCCTCCTCTTATTCGCCACGAATCGCAGTCCCAGTCCCGGTGACTCTGGGCCCCGGCTCTGGACACGCGCTCCTTGCGTCGTGACGTCAGTGCGTCGTGACGTCGAGGCGACGTGACGTCAGTACGTCGTGACGTCGAGGCGTCGTACGCCCGTGCGTCGTGACGTAACGTGATGTGAGGCCCGTGCGTCGTGACGTAACGCCCGTGCGTCGTGACGTAACGCGCGTGCGTCGTGACGTGCCCGTGCGTCGTGACGTTGCCGGCGTTTTGTGGCGGCCTGCTTCGTGCGCGATGACGTCACGTTAACCGCCTTCACGTCCTGTGAACTCCCGGAGCGAGATGACGTCATGTCGGTGCAACGTCATCGCCAGTGGAAAAACGCCCTTTGCAGTGACGTCAGGGTTGGTTTTGAGTTGTGGTCAGAATCTGAATATGTATCAGAATATTTATTCTGATTCAATACATGTAATAATGAATCTGATATATATTTTGAGTATTTTATTTACGATCAGACACTAACAACTTACTCCAAAAAGTAGCATTTTTACACGATTTTTTTTTATTGTTGACGGCTTCATTCAACTTCTTACATTTCAAGACGTACATACTCATCGGAAACCGTTAAATATAAAAAATTCCGTTCTATTTTTAACAGAAAAAACTAAAATTAATGAACTTAATACTCTTTGAGGGGAGGCTCCTATCTTTTACCGTTTTCGAATTATTCCGATTTGAAAGTCATAAAATGCGTATTTTTTCGTTCAAACCCGTTTTAATCCGATATATCTCAAAAACACCTGATGATGATTGCTTGTGTTGCAGTCGAAACGTCGTGATAATTTTTTTTATATTTCTATTATTTTATTATTTCCCTTCTACGTGACTTTACCGAAAGAGCCAAGAATATGAATCCCTGCAGTCACGAAAGCTTTAAATCAAAAATAAAATTAACCGTATTTATATTCTTGGGTATCGAAATACGTTCAGGAGCCGAATGGCAATGTCGAGGTCTGCTGGTCACGAGCGGGCTTCAGAAGAGATTTGAAGCTTTCGTGACTGCAAGGATTAATACTCTTAGGTTTTATCGGTAAAGTCACGTAGGTAAAAAATATTTTTTTAAATTAAAATTAATAAAAGTAAGTTATTTTACTTTGATTTATTTTAATTTAATTTTTTTAAATAAAAAATGTAATTAAAATTTATAAAAGTAAGTTATTTTACTTTAATTTTTTACCTACGTGACTTTACCGAAAAAACCTAAGAGTACTTTCAGAAGAGAGTTTGTGCAGTTTTCGTATTCCTCCTCCATTGAGGGGTCACAGACTCCAGTCGTTTACTATCTGGTCCATACTTTGTGTTGCACGGTCACAATCGCACCTCGTCTTGTAATTTTCACTTGATGAAGGGGAGATGTTATGGAGCGTTAACTTTGCATTTTATATGAAAATGCAATTCTTCAAAGGGGCCGTCCATAAATGACGTCACGCGATTTTGGTCGATTTTTGACCCCCCTCCCCTTCGTCACACGGCGTCACAAAAAGTCAGACCCCCCCTCAAATATGACGTCACAAAGCTCTGCCCCCCCCCCCCCCCAAATAAAACATGCTTCAAAGCTCTTTAAACTATTGTCATTGTAGTGCGTATTTAATGTGGCGCTGCACTCTGATGTTGTAGGAGAAAACATTTATTAAAAAGTATATTTCATTAAGAACGTGTTGTCTATATTTATTTAAAGTTGCACATTTTGATGTGACGTCACATTTCTCAAACACCCCCCCCACCTCTCGTCACACATCGTCACAAATGTTTGACCCCCCCCCCCCAGGTGCGTGACGTCATTTATGGACGACCCCAAACAAAGAAAATATAAAAACTGTACATATATTGGTAGGGGTGGCCTAAGTGAGTTTTGTCAAGCATTTACGATGTTTGACCTGCTGATACTGTGCAAACGCGGGAAGGGGTCCATAAAACGCATGCCTTTACACTCACACGTAGCCTTATGATCGCATTGCTAGGATACAGAGAGCAGTAAAAGGCAATAATTTCCATGGCAAATGATCGTTGCAGGAAAAATAAGCTAGTGCCGAGAAAATGTTTGTGAACCCCTTAGGATTTTCACATATTTCAAATCTAAAATTGTATTAGATCTTAATCTAAGTCCTAACATTAGCTGCCCCGCTCATCTCTAAACCTTTATAAACAGCTTGCCCTCAGAGGCTAACCTCCCTGTTCCTGATGACGAACGCTTGTGTTTCGATCGAAACGTCGTGATATTTTTAATCATTTTCTTTTTTCTATCTACGTGACTTTACCGAAAGAACCATATAATACTCACTTGCTTGTTTAATAAATAAATAATTTTGTTAACAAAAAATACGTGGAATTGGTTAATATAAACCCTATTGGATATTTAACAAAAGACGGTTTTGATTGAAGAAGGCTATCATGGTAATACTATGGAATTTCCATAATTATTGTGGTTCACAAACTTTTTCTGAGCACTGTATGTCGACAAGGTGGATGATTTTTGCAGCATTTGAAAGCTACTTTTACACAATATTTTTAAAAATGAAAACTATTCAGTTAAATGTATTTATTTGCTCTGATGTAAAATTCTTAATAGTTGTTCGCGTCGAGTATAAATACATTAAATAGACAATGTTTCCATCATATCTGTCTCTCTAAATAATTGTTTTTAATGTTTTATTATACTGTACACACCATCAGCTGTACGGCCTTTTGTGAGTGCATACTTTCAGCAGCATTGATTCATGATGAGTAAACAAAAATGTAATGGTCCATTATGTGTGTTGAGTGTTTTATGAGCAATTCCTGTGCCAGGTCTGCTATTGCGCTGTTGTATCAATAGCAGCATGAAGCAACATTGCCACCTTTGCAATAATTACGTATAAACGCTCATTAATTGGCTGAACACATCTTAAGTGCTGAGCTTGGGGAATTGTTGGCACCTGACTGCCTTAATTGCAGCTTATCTTTGGCTCCTCAGTGATTGTAAAATGCAATTTGCATGAAAAACACTATAAAACGAAACAATTATTACACCACTTGTCAGCAACAGAAACGTATTATGCACCACGAGCCTTCACATTATCAGCACCAAATTTGAAAAAGTGGCGGTTTTCAAATTTTCTTGCTGTGGTTTTCAAACCTGATGATGATTGCAACGTGTTGCAATCGAAACGTCGTGAGAATTTTATTGTTTTATTTTTATTATTTCCCTTCTACGTGACTTTACAGAAAGAGCCAAGAACAACACCCATATTATTGAAACGTCAAGTGGCAAGGGCTTCGTCCCCGCGGTGTATTGACAGAGGGCGGGGGTTGCAACGATGGCCCCATACCTCGGATAACGCTGTTTATCCACCGAGCCCCATTCATTGCATCACCACACTCCATCACATGGGGATGGGTTGGGTGAAGGCGGGGGGGGTGGTGAAGGCAGGGGGGGGGGTGAAGGCAGGGGGGGAGGTGAAGGCAGGGGGGGAGGTGAAGGCAGGGGGGGGCTGAAGGCAGGGGGGGGGTGAAGGCAGGGGGGGGGGTGAAGGCAGGGGGGGGGGGTGAAGGCAGGGGGGGGGGGTGAAGGCAGGGGGGGAGGTGAAGGCAGGGGGGGGGTGAAGGCAGGGGGGGAGGTGAAGGCAGGGGGGGGGTGAAGGCAGGGGGGGGGGGTGAAGGCAGGGGGGGGGGTGAAGGCAGGGGGTGGGTGAAGGCAGGGGGGGGGTGAAGCCAGGGGGGGGTGAAGGCAGGGGGGGGGGTGGGTGAAGGCGGGGGGGGGTGAAGGCGGGGGGGGTGAAGGCGGGGGGGGTGAAGGCGGGGGGGGTGGGTGAAGGCGGGGGGGGGGTGAAGGCGGGGGGGGTGAAGGCGGGGGGGGTGAAGGCGGGGGGGTGAAGGCGGGGGGGGTGAAGGCGGGGGGGACGAAGGGGGGGTGAAGGCAGGGGGGGGGTGGGTGAAGGCGGGGGGGGTGAAGGCGGGGGGGGTGGGTGAAGGCGGGGGGGGTGAAGGCGGGGGGGGTGAAGGCGGGGGGGGTGGGTGAAGGCGGGGGGGGGTGAAGGCGGGGGGGGTGAAGGGGGGGTGAAGGCAGGGGGGCGGGGCAGCCACGTCATCCAAGTTGCTGTGGGCGAAACCAACTGCGGCGTCGGTGGCGATGGGAGGGGGGGAGGTGGTGGGAATGTGGAATTTCAATTTAACTCTGATCTCAATCAGTTGATCTAAACGGATGTTTCAACAGACGAACGTGGGATTATTTTCTTCATGTTGGGGATATGACGACAACAAAAAACACTTTTAGAAGAAAAAAAATTGTTCAGCTGCCGGAACTGCAGATGCGCTGTGCATTCGCTAGAGCTCCCGTGTCGCTGTGAGCTCAACTTTTCTGCTCCCATCCCCCCCTCCTGTGCTACGAGTGAGATGAGAGGGCCGCGGCCACAACGTTCGCATCACTGGACGAGCTTTAGCTCCCAACTTACGACGTCTGGAGCATCATCACCACCTCCGACTGCCCTTGGCGCTCGCACTCGATCCGCTGGGAAGTTTTCAGCAAGAGGGCAACCCGAGTCGCACGGAAGAAGAGCGTTAGGCCAGGCACAGAAGATGTAGAGAGCCCAGCCACTGCCTTGTCAAAGGAGACCACGTAACAAAAACAACTTTTAACGCCCCCCCGGCTCACAGCTCAGCTGACCGGCTCCCATCGCGGCGTCAACGTTAGCATGGCCGAGCACGGCACGTGTTCTGCGCAGCGCACGACCGCTGCCATTCAGCTGACAACGCGAATACTGCTCGTGGCACTGATAGGGGCCCCAGCTTGCGCCAGCCTGTGGTCGTCATCACCGGCCACCGAAGCCACTCCGGACCACGTCCATCTCACCCACGCAGCCAGAGGATGATGCCACGGCCACCACCGCCCACCCACCGGGTCACATGAGGCCACTGGGTTCACACGCCCCACCCGAGGCGGACGCGCCGTCGCTCGCAGCGATGCCCTCCCCGACCTCATTCTTCCACGAATTCGTGTCGCCCGGCCGCCCGGTGCTCTTCCGCGGCGCCGCGTTGCGCATGCCGGCGTTCTTGCGCTGGGCGGACGACGACTACCTGCGCGTCCGCTACGGCTCGCTCGAGGTGAGCGTCGAGCTGGGCAAGAAGGAAAACCGCTCGGCGGGCGTCTACAGCAGCAGCCTGGCGTCGTTCCTGCGCTCGTTCGCGCTCGAGGACGTCTACATGGTGGAGAGTCTTCCCGTGGCAATGCGCGACGAAGTGTGGCCGCCCTCGTGCCTCGCGTGCGGAGGTCTCCAGCGAGCGCTCGTCGACTCGGTGCTCTGGCTGAGCGGCGGTGGCACCAAATCGGTGCTCCACTACGACTCGCTCGACAACGTCATCTGCGTGCTCGCCGGACGCAAGCGCTTCTTCATGGCTGATCGCGCGGAGCTGGAGCGCCTTGCGCTCGACCACGCCGACGAGGCGTTCCTCGGGGTCGACGTGGACCGCGTGGATATGTACCGATACCCGGGGCTGCGTCGCATGCGCTGGTACCGCGCCACGGTCGACGCCGGCGACTGCTTCTTCATCCCCTACAAGTGGCTCCACCAGGTGAACTCGGACGCGGGCAGGAGCTTGGCGGTGAACTTTTGGTTCGTGCACCTCCACTGGTTCAACCGGACGGACTGCGAGAAGACGCCGCAGCAGCCGACGCCGGCGACCCAAGACGTGCCTCTGAGCGACTACCAGATGGCGTCCACCTTGGAGCTGTTGAGGTCGCAGGTGCTCGAGGACTTTGAGGGTCGAGACGTGGTCACGCTGGGCGAGATGAAGGACTGGCTGCGGGGACGAGGCCAGACGAACGGCAGTGGGATTCTCGCGCGGTTGTTCCAGGCCAGCGACAGGGATGGGGATGGCGCCCTCACCATGGAGGAGCTGTACGCAGCACCGGTTGAGATGTTCGCCTCTCTGCTGGGCGTCACCGGTGATGCGAAGACGGAGGATGACAATGTCCCTTCGCCTCTGCGGCAGGAAACTCACCCCCAAGCGCAGCAAGCACGCACGTCTGATGAACTGTGAACACACACACACTTGAACACACACACATGAACACACACACACGAACACACACACGCACACCACCACGCCGTGTGTGTCAGCGAATTCATCTTCTTGGTTCTTTCGGTAAAGTCACGTAGAAGGGAAATAATAAAATAAAATAAATTCAACGTAATAAAATGCAATTCTCACGACGTTTCGGCCACAACCCAAGCAGCCGTCCTTAGGTGAAGAACAGGGCTGTCGGAAAAATAGCGTCTGAATGAAGTTTTTTCCAACAGCCCTGTTCTTCACCTGAGGACGGCTGCTTGCGTTGTGGCCGAAACGTCGTGAGAATTGTATTTTATTATGTTGAATTTGTATTATTTCCCTTCTACGTGACTTTACCGAAAGAACCAAGAAGATGAATCCCTGCAGTCACGAAAGCTTTAAATCGAAAAATGTCAGCGAATTCTGACACTTTCTGTAAACGATGAGTAACTAACAAATCAGAGATAACATTGAGTACCGGCTGGATGCTGATAAGAGCAATGTCGTATTCTACGGATTATAAGACGCGGTTTCCCTCTATTTCTTTTTTAAAGAAAACTTTTGAGTGTGTGCTTGACCAGATTTGTCCAACAAGTTTTGGGCGCGTTACTTTCCGTAGCGTCTCTTAACCCGGAATGTGATTTATGGAGAGGAAAATGTGCGATGGAGATCATTGTATAGGGAGGGTCCTGCCACCACGCCCTGTGCAACGTTGCGTTCCACCACGATGCTGTGTGTATAATTCACACGCTGCCTTGTTTTGAGACCGCCAATTCAAAGGAGTCTGAAATAACATGGCCACACGTTTCACTGTTTTCGTGGTCCGAGAAAATTCTCTCTGCACATCGCACGGTGGCCATATGACTTTCAAGACAAGATGGGAGGGAGACCGATCCGTTCGGTCACAATGTTGCATTTTATTTCTAGCTATACATTTGCCTTTTGCATTTGTCATGGATCCAGTTTATGCGCGTGGTGTCTGTCTACGGTACGTGTATTCATGAGGGGAGCGGTCGTGCAATGGTTAGCGCGCTGCTCATGGCCAACTAACAGTGAGGATTATTTGAATCTGTTCTGGGCCTCCCCTAGGTAGGCTCACACAATGTACTCGTTTGAGTGTGTAAACGTCGTCACTGGGGAGACAAAGGCGGCCGGGCGTGGTGCTGGCCACCCACCCCTCGTGTATCGTGCCGGCCACCCACCCACCCCTCGTGTGTCGTGCCGGGGTCTTCATAGGTGCTCGCTAACAGCACTTGCCCCAACATTCCTTTAAGGTTATATGGGGGATCTTTGTCTTTATATTCATACTCTAATAGTCCTAATGATCATCCTAGACACAATTGCAATGCCCATCTGGTTGATTTGAAGTTTTACGTTACAATGTGAAATTTAAATGTGCAAATTCGTAGTCGGTTGTCTTCATGCAGTTGTTTTATGTAGTGCGAAAATGGAGGGAGTGTTGCTAGCAAAAATGGGAAGTACTGTAGTTCAGCAACTGATTTTAAACTGCTTCATTGCTTGAGATGGAATGTGTACACTTACACGCTTACAAATGCATGCAAGCAGGTACTTGCATAAAGGCTTTTTATGAACATATCTGGAATGGGTGAATTTGTGAAGCATGGCTTATTTGGGTTTTTGTTTAATGCACACTTTTTTATTTCCTCACAAAGCTTTGCAAATGGAGTGACGTCATGACTTAAATACATTTTCAATTCAGAACTTTGGCAAGGAACCTGCATCGCTTTGTCTCAGAGATCGACCACCACAAGACATTTGAAATATGTATGTCCCTTCGATGTTCTTTTAACCACACTGGGTTGTTCACCTTGGGTAGTGCTTGTCACACGGTAATCGCGCCACATTGTTTCATCGTCACAGTTTGAATATGCCAAATTAAGTGATACGCCAAATTAAATTAAATTGGAGGTTGTGGTGCAGTAATTGGTGCATGGATGGTACTGTCAGCTCGCAACACTCGAGAATGTGGTTCCATCATGGGTTGGTTACATGGCCTAGCGGTAGTGCATCTGCCACTTGTTGCAGATGTTCACGATTTGAAACCAGTGCCCGCCTGGGTGATTACTTTTGACTTAATAAGCGTAGGAATACACACCGTCTACTTGACGGTGGACGTAAAGAATTCCAAGATGTTAGTGTGAACCGTTGGTTTATTTTTGGCACAGGTAAAAGCCATTCTGCATTAGTCACGGTCCGAATTTTGAAAAAATACTAATATGGAATATACATAACAATTATTTCCCCTGTTGCAAAAACCTGGCAGGACTCTCCTGAAAAATTGTAATGAGACTTGATAAGGCTTCCCTGAGTAGAGCATAATAATCATAATTTATATTTGATGGTTGTCTGGATTTGAACCCAGGATCTGTTGGGTGCCCGGCTGAGTATTCTGACGTGGTATTTGCTCACTGAGCCACCCAGCAACCTCTGTTAATAAATAGAAACAATATATTTCGATTTAAAGCTTTCGTGACTGCAGGGATTCATCTTCTTGGTTCTTTCGGTAAAGTCACGTAGAAGGGAAGTAATAAAATAATAAAAATAAAACATAATAAAACAATTCTCACGACGTTTCGGCCACAACGCAAGCAGCCGTCCTCAAGGTGCCTGTGCCTGACACCATCGCAATCATTGAAGACTTGGTTCATCAAGGACTGAATGCTGGGGTACCCCCCCTGGTGAGACACTGCTTAACCAATACATACTTCACCTGGAATGGAACCTTCTACAAGCAATTGAGGGCACCCCAATGGGCTCCCCCCTATCTCCGGTTGTAGCCAACATCTTCATGGAGAAATTTGAGACGGACGCCATCCAGACTGCCACTCTACGCCCGACCTTATGGAAGAGGTACGTAGACGACACTTTTGTCATCTGGCCACATGGCCGGCCTGCTCTAGACCAATTTCTCGACCTACATCAATTCCATACACCCAGCCATCAGATTCACCATGGAAGTCGAAAATGATGGCAAGCTACCCTTTTTGGATGTCCTAATAAAAAGGAGACCTGATGGTTCAATGAGCCACTCTGTCTACAGGAAAGCCACCCACACGGATGCTTATCTAAAACCGGATTCCCACCACCATCCATCCCAGAAGAATTCCCTCATCAAGACTCTATATCATAGAGCCCAATGCATCTCCGACCATGAACACATTTCCAGTGAACTCAAACACGTACGCCAAGCTCTTAAGGCTAATGGTTACTCCGACTACACAATCCGCAAAGCCATCACTCCAACCATCAAGAAGGATCCTGTTGAGGAGCCTTTCAAGACCATCACCTTACCCTACATTGCTGGGGTCACAAAAAAGATCTCCAAAATCCTGATTAAACACAAGATCCAGGTCCGATTCAACACAGTACATAAAATCCGTGATCTGGTCCCGTCTGTAAAAGATGTGGTTCCAGACATACAGTACCCTGGCGTCTACAAACTAAGTTGCCTCTGTGGTAGCAGTTACATTGGAGAAACCAAACGACATGTCTCGGACCGCATCCGTGAACATAAGGCAGACCTGAAACACGGTAGGACAAACACCTCAGCCGTGGCAGATCACTGTTACAATTCAGTGGGCTCACATGACATTGACTTCTCCAAGACAGAGGTTCTCTGCAAGCCATCTGACTATCATGAGAGATTCGTTCATGAGGCGATCCACATATACAAACACAGAGACAATTTCAACCGAGAAGATGGATTCTGGCTTAGCAATCATTGGAAGGACGTAATAAACCATTTCGGATCTTAACTGATTGTGTTCACGTTTACGGTGACTTTCAGACCGCGTTCCACTCACTGGCATGGTGCAGTGTGCAGAGTAATGTATGGTGTCGTAATTGTATAGTAAACATATAGCAGTGTGATACACATTAGGGTGGGTAGAATAATACATAGTGTTATATTAAAATGGATAAGGCAGCAACTGCAGCAGCAGCAGCAAGTGCAGCAGCAGCAGCAAGTGCAGCAGCAGCAGCAAGTGCAGCAGCAGCAGCAAGTGCAGCAGCAGCAGCAACTGCAGCAGCAGCAGCAACTGCAGCAGCAGCAGAAACTGCAGCAGCAGCAGAAACTGCAGCAGTAGCAACTGCAGCAGCAGCAGTAACTGCAGCTCCCTTTGATGCTGTTAATCCTGCATAATGCACATGCATATGCAGTACTAATCACATTCCTGCATTTCCCATAAATATGCTAAATTCCTTTTGATATGCAAATTCCTTTGTCAATGCGCCCAGCTTATATATATGCTCCAAGCTCGTGTGCTGTTTCATTCAGACTCTGTCGCCTCGACGGACCTGGTTTTCACCTGAGGACGGCTGCTTGCGTTGTGGCCGAAACGTCGTGAGAATTGTTTTATTATGTTTTATTTTTATTATTTAATTACTTCCCTTCTACGTGACTTTACCGAAAGAACCAAGAAGAAGAAACAATATACATTCGCAGAGTGCTTGAAATTGACGGTGTTTGCTAAATTTGGAATTCATCATATCGGTATTGGTACGGAGTGGTGGTGCAATTATCACTGCACCTAACTGTCAACCCAGTGACCTACGTTTCATTCCCGGTCATGGCTAACATCAGTGGCAAGTGATATCTGAACTGGTCCCAAACCCGCACAGACCAAAACGGTCAATCAATCTCCATCATGCCTAGCATGGCAAGGCCTTTATTCAACAGTGGTTTGAAAAAGGGGTGGGGAATATGGATATTTATCCCCCTATACTCGTCAAGGGACTTGAGCAATGATAAGGAGGCTTGTATCGGGTTGTATACAAGGTCCAGATATATAATGCAGTCGTGTACTGTGATGGCTGTCAAACATGCAAGAGCAGACCCTGTCTCCCCGACCAAGGAATCAGTGATGTGTGGCAGTCCAGCTATTGAACTTGAGCCGTTGAATTAAAATTAAGCTATTGAAATAACAGTTACTAAAGGAAGTTATCAGATGAATAGTTACGTTTAAATAAAGATGGGGTGTTGGATATTGAAAACTCTTCACTAACAAAGAAAGGTGAAGATGGTGATGAGCCTTTTTAAATCCTTTATATTAAGTTCGCTTGCTTGCTTAGGACCGTGCAAATCTTTCGGTCGATTTTTTAACCCACTTCCCGTGATCCAATCGA